ATTATTCTATACCGAAAAAATATACCCTTATTTTTTTATTTTGAAATCGAAAAATAATTAGAGGTCGCTCAAAGCGCCCAAAGTTTTCCATCTATTTTATATGGGGAAAAAAAACTTTTAGTAGAAATGGTATAGAATTCAAAAATACATACTAATATTTTTCTATCGGAAAACTCTTTCCATCTGCAGAAGATTCCCAAACATAATACCAAATTGTTTATTTAACAATTTTTTCATCGCAACTATAATTTGTAGGTCCGCCATAACCCACAAAAACCCCGAAAAATGCAATGGGGGACAAATAAAAAATCGTTAGTATTAAAAAATGGTTAAATAAATAATTGGATATTATTATTGTAAGCCTCCTGAAGAGAACCAGGGTTATCCGACCGAGAAATATTGGTTTTCAGGAACTCTATACCATTTCTACGAAAAGTTGTTTTTTTCCCATATAAAAATACATGGGAAACTTTGAGCGCTTTGAGCGACCTCTAAATATTTTCTGATTTTAAAGTAAAAAAAATAGAGGTATGTTTTTTCCTATATAGAACAATCCTAGGGAATGAGAGCATTACAATTCCGACTTTACTGTTCTTGGACCACCCTAATGTACATGCATTCATATCAAGAGCACCTCATTTCAAAGTGATATTGTTTTCCACTTATGTTTATTTATTTATTTTTAAGAATTTTCATTAAAATAAAGTTCATTCTCTCAAAAAATCCATATAAACCCAAATTTAAAACTTTGTAGAAAACCACAAAAAATCTATAAATGTTCATCCGAATTTCAAAATTATTTTCTCAGAATTTTTTGAGTATATGTATAGATTTAAAGCCCTTTCAATTTTATTGTAATAATGTGCAAGTTTCAAGTGGCTAAAAATTCCCGTTGTTGCGGTTTTCTTTCATATAAAAATAAATTGTATTTATTCGTTATATGGGAACAAAAAGAATCAAAGGTAATTTTAAGGCTCTTGAAACTTGCACATTATCACACTACAATTGAATCGGCATAAAGCTTCATACTCAAAAAAATTTAACACTTCTGAGTAAATAAGTTTGAAATTTGAATGAAAATTAGTTGATTTTTTTTTTTTAGATTTCTACAAAGTTTTAAGCGTGGGTTTACATGGTTTTTTTAAATGGACTTGATTTTAATTGAAATTGAACATACTGAAAACAAATTTTTAATGGTTAACCATAAAACAATATGAATTGCATAAAGCTTAAAGGGAAAAATGCCTTTAAAAAAAAGAAAAGTGGATGATCTCCAGCAAATGATCACTAAACGCTATATACCGTCTGAATTTCATGAATTTTATAATACAATTATGGAAATATAAAATAAGCACTTAATTTCCAATATAAATTATGCTTTTATGATTTAGTTTACATCTAAAATGTGCTACTCTTCCACGCAAATAGTGAAATGTGCTACTTTTCCACGTAAAAATCTGAAATGTGCTAGTCTTCCACGCAAATAATAAAATGTGCTACTCTTCCACGCAAAAATCTGAAATATGCCACCTTTCCGCGCGAATAATGAAAAGTGCTAGACTTCCATGCTAATAGTGAAATGTGCTAGTCTTCCACGCGAATAGTGAAATGTGCTACTCTTCGTAGGGAACGACGATATGTTATATAATATATTATGATATATTTTCTTAATATATAAAAATCCCGGTGTCACAGTGTTCGTTTACGCTAATCTCCGAAAAAGCTTAACAGATTTCAATGAAATTTTGTGGGTGTGTATTATTGGTTCCAACGTAAAAGACAGGATAGTTTCGAAACCGAGAAAAAATATTTTTTCATCGAAATTTTTTCAATGTTTCCCGCAACGTTCTTAAAAATCCCGTATCGTTATGTTAGTTTACGCTAACTACATCCCATATCCAATGTTATTCGCGGCTAAGCTTCAAATGTTACACAAACAAAATACATGGGAAAAAATTACCAAACACCGAGTTGCCGAGTACTAAGCTTCGGTGTGAAGACCCCTAATATCTACGATGCATGTAACCTGCCTATATGTATCGGTGTGTAGCAGGACAACGTCTGCCCGGGCTTACTATAATATATATATGATATATGTATATATATATATTATATATATGATATAAACAGGGATGGTAATCATTATAAGCTAAAAAATATTAATCAACATTTAATTATTATTATCCGATTTTTATTTTTTTAATCACAAATAATAATTATTTATTGATTTTTACTTTTTTCCACGAATGTAATTATTTTATATTAATTGCTCAATAATAAGGACAACTTCTTGATTTCTATGGTTTTGATCGAGATNTTTTTGCTCAATAATAAGGACAACTTCTTGATTTCTATGGTTTTGATCGAGATTAATGATTATGTTGCGATTTTTATTTTTTCGCTCAAGAATAATACTCAGCTTCTGAGTTTTATATTTTCGCTTGGACGAAAGGATTACTTTTGATTTCTATTTTTTCGCTCAGGTATAATGATTATCTTGCAGTTTTTATTTTTTCCGCTCAAGACTAATGATTGACACCTGATTTTTATTTTCTTTCGCCAAACATAAAACTCAAAACCTTATAAAACCAAGACCATATGAACTTTTGACTTAAAATTTTATAAGAGCACACCTTTTATCTTGTGTTATCTTCCTATATAAACGGAACGTTTGAAATTATTGGTATTGGTATGAAAATTAAATAAGATCGTTTTCATGCCGTGTGCATGTGTCATATCTACATAGTCATGTACATACCATGCACGTTGCATTAACTAGATTATACATTTGATTTTTTCTTACTTTCGTAATAATATTTCGCTGAGATTGGAAAAGAAATGCGTGCGTGAGTTTAACTTCAAAATCAAATTGCTTGCAAACGTCATAAATGCTCGAAACCAATAACACGGTGCTACAAAAAAATCACGAAATATACACGAAACAAAACTTAATGCAGGTTGTAGGTAGGATCAACTACAACATGAAAATAGGTTTCCTATAGTTCCTGAAACCTCCATTTTTATTTTATTTAAAACAACAGTTATTTTCATACTATGCACTTATCAAATAACAGCTTGAATAAATAATTTTCATCCGATTTTGAAAATCAAACATGGTTTGAAAAAGGAATTTACGTATATTCCTTTAGAATGATGGATAACAATATATCGACTGCTGAGTGGAAGATCGACCTATCTCGGCAGTCAGTTCGAAAACGTCCTATCTCAAAAACCTTTTCAAGAACGCCCTACTTCAGGAATTTGTTTCAAAAACGCCCTATCTCAGCTTCCGATTAAAAAACGCCCTATATCAGCACATTTTCAACACATTTTGAAGTAAGATAGGGCGTTTTTGAACCGAATTCTGAGATACGGTGTTTTTCAATAAAATTTTGAAATAGGGCGTTCTTGAAAAGATTTTTGAGATAGGACGTTTTCGAACTGGCTGCCGAGATAGGTCGATCTTCCACTCAGCAGTCGATATTGTTAGACTTAGTTTTCATCAGGTAAAATTTAAAAACCCCAATTTTTATACCCGAGTACACTTGTGTGCAAGGGTATTATAACTTTGTTCGCATAACGCTTATTTGTAACAGCCTAAAAGAATCGAGATAGATATAGACAAATGTATACATACATAAATGCTCAGAATGAAAAGAGAAGTCGATTATGCCATGCCTGTGTGTCGGTACGTCCGTCCGTCCGCCCGAAAACACGATAACTCGAGCAAAAATTGAGATATCTCAACGACGGTATATAGGTTGTCCTTTATCCGAGGTAGTTTGGTGTTGAAAATGGGCGAAATCGGACTGTATCCTCGCCCACTTCACATATAACGGTATCTTCGGAAAATGGAAAAACTACGATATTTCAGTAAATATTGGATACAAATTGTTGAAAATGAGTATGTGCAGTAGAATTTTGATAGAAAATAGTATTATTATGAAAGTTTTGGAAAATGGGCGTAACCTCGCCCCGTGATGAAATGCCGTATCTAAGTAGCCGCTTCACCCTTCCTTACCAAACTCGGTACCAGCTTTACTAAGGGTCCAGCTGTTGAAAATCTCTGAAATCCGGCAATAACAACGCCCACTTTCCATATAACGGTAATTTACAGAAACACAGAAACTTGGATAAATCAGTAACTACTGAAGCTAATTCACTTAAAATCCATGATTGCAATAGCCATTTATAAGAAAATTAAATAGATTCATATACATTTCTCGATAATGGGCGTGGCGCCGCCCACTTTTGACCACAAATGTGTATCTCGGTAACCAATTTATCAATTTCTACCAAACTCGGTGCAGTTATGATCTTTAGTACAGAAAAGCAATTCATTGAAAATTGTTCAAATCAGTCTAAAATTATACCCGCTTCCCGTATAACGGTAAATTTTAAATATACGAAAACTCTGATATTTAAATAATTGAGGACGCTAATTTACTCCAAGTTAATACTTTCAAGAATCTCTTAACAATAAACAAGACTGCTATAAACTTGTAGGAATTGGGCATGGCGTCGGCCACTTCATGACTAAAAGGTATATCCAGGTAATCGTTTTACCGATGTCTATCAAACTTAGTTCAGTTAAGTCTTACTCAGCATATTATCGAAAACGTTTGAAATATGGAAAAAACACCCCTGCTCATCATGGAAAGTTAGTTTAGAAAAAGTTGAAACGACTTTATTTTATGATTCTTTTTTCTTCGGCCAATGTTGTAAATTTATTTGTGTACTTGTATTTGGAGCTTATCGGCCGGTGTTTTGAAAATAAAAACAAAGTTTATTTTTTTTCTTCCCGTCATCTTCAGGGAGTCTGTTTATTAATTTGCAAAAACGAAAAACATTATTAGTAACAAGCAAAATTATTTAGAACAATACAAACATAGTTAGATTTGAACATATTTGACTTACATTAACATAAAAATTAGTTTAACTATTCACAATTTCAAAAAACGACATAAATACATTTTCCGGACACCACATTAAACATTTAGCAACTTCTTTATCTTCCGATAGCTTAAACATTGTGTGTTATTGCAGTAGCATATGCACAGCTTATATTGTCAACATCTTCTTTGTAGTTCATCGCTTTACATATATTTTGTTGTATGCGTAGCCCTTCTAATGTCATCCGCTTTCTAGTTCTGTTCTCCACGTCTAAAATTCTAGCGTTGGCGAAATCTGCTGTGTGATTGTTTGTGGCCAAGTGCTGCGCTAACGCTGTGGTGTTTTTCTTATTTTTGGCGTCAAGTTTGTGTTCGTTGATTCTGGTTCCTAATGCTCTCTTCGTTGTTCCAATGTATATTTTATTGCAGCTTTCGCCTTCATTTCCTTTGCACGATATTTCGTAGACTACATTGTGTAGTTGTTCATTGTTAATTTTGCCCTTTGATTTGGTATAAATATTTCTGATCGTGTTATGTGGCTTATGTGCATAGCATATGTTATTGTTTTTAATAATTTTGCCCAATGTTTTGTTGTCCGTTAGGTTGGGTATATACGCGACGCCTGTGTATGTTTTCGTGTTATTTTTATTTATTGTTATGTTGTTATTGCATTTCATTTTATTTATCGCTGTTGTTATTAGTGTCTCTATTACTCCGCTGGGATATGCGTTTTTGAAGACAATGTTTTTTATTTTAGCCCTATTGTCTTCTATGAACTCCGGATCACTCAAGGAGTAAACTTTGGTGATGAAATTTATTGCTGTGTTCTTCTTCAGGGCCCACGGGTAATTAGAATTAAAGTTGATCATCCTTGATGATGCTACGCTATTGGTATACCAGTTAGTTTTCAATTTATTTTCACTCTTATGAATTTCAATATCTAGGAAGGCTATTTTGTTATCTATTTCCTTTTCCAGTGTGAATTGTACTTTTGTATGCTGTTGATTAAATATTTTCAATATCTCTTCCACGTCTTTTGTCTTAACTATAGCGAATATATCATCTACATATTTGGTAATGTATTTGATACATATGTCCTTATTTCTTAGCTCGATAATGCTGTCGTCAATAATTTTGTCTAAAACAATGTCAGCTATAGTGGGCGATAAAGGGTTACCCATCGGCATACCATACACTTGCTGGTAAAAGGTTCCATCGTAGACGAAGTAGTTGTTTTCCCTCAGACAAAATTCTAATATTGTTAGGAATTGTTTTTTGGTTATTGTTGTATGCTTTTCTAGGCTTGACCACTGCTTCATTATTGTGTTAATCGCCAAATGGATGGGTATATTCGTGAATAAAGATACGACGTCCAGGGATATAAGCATTTCATCATCATCAACAGTTATGTTTTTAATATTTTCCTTCAGTTGAAATGAGTTTTTCACGTTAAAGTTTTCAGAAACGATATTTTTAAGGGTCTGCCCCACATATTTTGCCAGTTTGAAGCATGGTACATTCATAGATGATGAAATTGGTCGAAGAGGTGTGTTCTCTTTGTGGATTTTGGGTAAGCCATAGAGTCTTGGTGCTGTAGCTGCCGTGCATGTCAAGTATTGTTTAAGTTTAAAGTCAATGCTTTTATTTTTATAGATGTCATTCACCAAATTGTTGTTTTTCCTTAAAAGCTGTTGGGTCGGGTCAATTCTGATAGCCTTATATGTGCATTTATCATTTAAGAGGTCTTTCATTTTTTGTTGGTAATCTGCCTTATATATCATTACTGTCCTGTTACCCTTGTCCGCATTCGTAATGATTATGGAATCCTTGTGCTTCTGAATAAATCTTTTTGTTTCTTCGTAAATTTTAAGTATAAACTTTTCTTTTGGACTATTTTTTTAATTTGTTTTTAAACGTGTTAACCTTTGTTGCAAAATTGCTTCTCAGCATATCTTTTTGTCTATCGTCTTCCATCGTTTGTATGCTTTGTTCAATATCCGCTATTAAATGTATAGGTGAGAATGTTTTCCTAGAAACAGGTAGTGCGAACTTATTTCCCATCGATAGTAACCACCGACACTCCGCGGGGATGGCGATATCGGTTTTATTGGTGAACCAATCTTCATTGCATCTCAATCCAAATACCTCAAGGTTTTTCCTAATAGATGTTTGGAGTTTCAATTTAAGATTATTTTCCGTTTTGTTACTGATATTTCTTAGGAACTGTTTTTGGCTTTCTACTATGGAGTTGAATTCTTTCCCTTCAATGATCTTCAGTAACTTTTTCTCAATGTGTCCAATGGTATCTCTAATGATTTTTATTTGTATGTTTGCCTCTTTTACTTCTAAGTTTAGTATTTTCATTAAAAATTGTTTTTCAATTTTTTGCATTTCTTTCTTCGTTGTGTCTAGTTTGAACCCGTGTGTAATTTTGTTGGTCTTACCCTTTAAATGTGACGGTATGACTCCGAAATCCTTACACTTGAGTAAGAATTTTAACCTTTGTTGTTGTTTTGCAAGTTTTTTATAGTTTTTGTTGTACTGTTTGATGGTGTAACAGGTGTCCAGATCGTACTTAAATCGAATGTGCTGGAAAAAGTGCTTCATTTTGTTTATTTTGTGTTTTTCGTATTTGTTGTTTCGGTTTAGCTCTCCGATTAATTTGATGATTATTTTTTCTTTTGGGCCAATGTTGTAAATTTATTTGTGTATTTGTATTTGGAGCTTTTCGGTCGGTGTGTTGAAAATAAAAACAAAGTTTATTTTTTTCTCCTACGCGTTTCGACGCATTTTCGCGTCATCTTCAGGGAGTCTGTTTATTAATTTGCAAAAACGAAAAACATTATTAGTAACAAGCAAAATTATTTAGAACAATACAAACATAGTTAGATTTCAACATATTTGACTTACATTAACATAAAAATTAGTTTAATTATTCACAATTTAAAAAAAACGACATAAATACATTTTCCGGACACCACATTTAACATTTAGCAACTTCTTTATCTTCCGATAGCTTAAACATTGTGTGTTATTGCAGTAGCATATGCACAGTTTATATTGTCAACATCTTCTTTGTAGTTCATTGCTTTACATATATTTTGTTGTATGCGTAGCCCTTCTAATGTCATCCGCTTTTTAGTTCTGTTCTCCACGTCTAAAATTCTAGCGTTGGCGAAATCTGCTGTGTGATTGTTTGTGGTCAAGTGCTGCGCTAACGCTGTGGTGTTTTTCTTATTTTTGGCGTCAAGTTTGTGTTCGTTGATTCTGGTTCCTAATGCTCTCTTCGTTGTTCCAATGTATACTTTATTGCAGCTTTCACCTTCATTTCCTTTGCACGATATTTCGTAGACTACATTGTGTAGTTGTTCCTTGTTAATTTTGTCCTTTGTTTTGGTATAAATATTTCTGGTCGTGTTATGTGGCTTATGTGCATAGCATATGTTATTGTTTTTAATAATTTTGCCCAATGTTTTGTTGTCCGTTAGGTTGGGTATATACGCGACGCCTGTGTATGTTTTCGTGTTATTTTTATTTATTGTTATGTTGTTATTGCATTTCATTTTATTTATCGCTGTTGTTATTAGTGTCTCTATTACTCCGCTGGGATATGCGTTTTTGAAGAGAATGTTTTTTATTTTAGCCCTATTGTCTTCTATGAACTCCGGATCACTCAAGGAGTAAACTTTGGTGATGAAATTTATTGCTGTGTTCTTCTTCTGGGCCCACGGGTGATTAGAATTAAAGTTTATCATCCTTGATGATGCTACGCTCTTGGTATACCAGTTAGTTTTCAATTTATTTTCACTCTTATGAATTTCAATATCTAGGAAGGCTATTTTGTTATCTATTTCCTTTTCCAGTGTGAATTGTACTTTTGTATGCTGTCGATTAAATATTTTCAATATCTCTTCCACGTCTTTTGTCTTAACTATAGCGAATATATCATCTACATATTTGGTAATGTATTTGATACATATGTCCTTATTTCTTAGCTCGATAATGCTGTCGTCAATAATTTTGTCTAAAACAATGTCAGCTATAGTGGGCGATAAAGGGTTACCCATCGGCATACCATACACTTGCTGGTAAAAGGTTCCATCGTAGACGAAGTAGTTGTTTTCCCTCAGACAAAATTCTAATATTGTTAGGAATTGTTTTTTGGTTATTGTTGTATGCTTTTCTAGGCTTGACCACTGCTTCATTATTGTGTTAATCGCCAAATGGATGGGTATATTCGTGAATAAAGATACGACGTCCAGGGATATAAGCATTTCATCATCATCAACAGTTATGTTTTTAATATTTTCCTTCAGTTGAAATGAGTTTTTCACGTTAAAGTTTTCAGAAACGATATTTTTAAGGGTCTGCCCCACATATTTTGCCAGTTTGAAGCATGGTACATTCATAGATGATGAAATTGGTCGAAGAGGTGTGTTCTCTTTGTGGATTTTGGGTAAGCCATAGAGTCTTGGTGCTGTAGCTGCCGTGCATGTCAAGTATTGTTTAAGTTTAAAGTCAATGCTTTTATTTTTATAGATGTCATTCACCAAATTGTTGTTTTTCCTTAAAAGCTGTTGGGTCGGGTCAATTCTGATAGCCTTATATGTGCATTTATCATTTAAGAGGTCTTTCATTTTTTGTTGGTAATCTGCCTTATATATCATTACTGTCCTGTTACCCTTGTCCGCATTCGTAATGATTATGGAATCCTTGTGCTTCTGAATAAATCTTCTTGTTTCTTCGTAAATTTTAAGTATAAACTTTTCTTTTGGACTATTTTTTAATTTGTTTTTAAACGTGTTAACCTTTGTTGCAAAATTGCTTCTCACCATATCTTTTTGTCTATCGTCTTCCATCGTTTGTATGCTTTGTTCAATATCCGCTATTAAATGTATAGGTGAGAATGTTTTCCTAGAAACAGGTAGTGCGAACTTATTTCCCATCGATAGTAACCACCGACACTCCGCGGGGATGGCGATATCGGTTTTATTGGTGAACCAATCTTCATTGCATCTCAATCCAAACACCTCAAAGTTTTTCCTAATAGATGTTTGGAGTTTCAATTTAAGATTATTTTCCGTTTTGTTACTGATATTTCTTAGGAACTGTTTTTGGCTTTCTACTATGGAGTTGAATTCTTTCCCTTCAATGATCTTCAGTAACTTTTTCACAATGTGTCCAATGGTATCTCTCATAATTTTTATTTTTATGTTTGCCTCTTTTACTTCTAAGTTTAGAATTTTCATTAAAAATTGTTTTTCAATTTTTTGCATTTCTTTCTTCGTTGTGTCTAGTTTGAACCCGTGTGTAATTTTGTTGGTCTTACCCTTTAAATGTGACGGTATGACTCCGAAATCCTTACACTTGAGTAAGAATTTTAACCTTTGTTGTTGTTTTGCAAGTTTTTTATAGTTTTTGTTGTACTGTTTGATGGTGTAACAGGTGTCCAGATCGTACTTAAATCTAATGTGCTGGAAAAAGTGCTTCATTTTGTTTATTTTGTGTTTTTCGTATTTGTTGTTTCGGTTTAGCTCTCCGATTCATTTGATGATTCTTTTTTCTTGGGCCAATGTTGTAAATTTATTTGTGTACTTGTATTTGGAGCTTTTCGGCCGATGTTTTGAAAATAAAAACTAAGTTTTTTTTTTTTCTCCTACGCGTTTCGACGCATTTTCGCGTCACCTTCAGGGAGTCTGTTTATTAATTTGCAAAAACGAAAAACATTATTAGTAACAAGCAAAATTATTTAGAACAATACAAACATAGTTAGATTTCAACATATTTGACTTACATTAACATAAAAATTAGTTTAATTATTCACAATTTTAAAAAAACGACATAAATACATTTTCCGGACACCACATTAAACATTTAGCAACTTCTTTATCTTCCGATAGCTTAAACATTGTGTGTTATTGCAGTGGCATATGCACAGTTTATACTGTCAACATCGCCTTTGTAGTTCATCGCTTTACATATATTTTGTTGTATACATAGCCCTTCTAATGTCATCCGCTTTCTAGTTCTGTTCTCCACGTCTAAAATTCTAGCGTTGGCGAAATCTGCTGTGGGATTGTTTGTGGCCAAGTGCTGCGCTAACGCTGTGGTGTTTTTCTTATTTTTGGCGTCAAGTTTGTGTTCGTTGATTCTGGTTCCTAATGCTCTCTTCGTTGTTCCAATGTATACTTTATTGCAGCTTTCGCCTTCATTTCCTTTGCACGATATTTCGTAGACTACATTGTGTAGTTGTTCCTTGTTAATTTTGTCCTTTGTTTTGGTATAAATATTNCAGCTTTCGCCTTCATTTCCTTTGCACGATATTTCGTAGACTACATTGTGTAGTTGTTCCTTGTTAATTTTGTCCTTTATTTTGGTATAAATATTGTGGCTTATGTGCATAGCATATGTTATTGTTTTTAATAATTTTGCCCAATGTTTTGTTGTCCGTTAGGTTGGATATATACGCGAAGCCTGTGTATGTTTTCGTGTTATTTTTATTTATTGTTATGTTGTTATTGCATTTCATTTTATTTATCGCTGTTGTTATTAGTGTCTCTATTACTCCGCTGGGATATGCGTTTTTGAAGAGAATGTTTTTTATTTTAGCCCTATTATCTTCTATGAACTCCTGATCACTCAAGTAGTAAACTTTGGTGATGAAATTTATTGCTGTGTTCTTCTTCTGGGCCCACGGGTGATTAGAATTAAAGTTTATCATCCTTGATGATGCTACGCTCTTGGTATACCAGTTAGTTTTCAATTTATTTTCACTTTTATGAATTTCAATTTCTAGGAAGGCTATTTTGTTATCTACTTTATTTTATACCTGTGACGGGTATATAAAATTTGGTTTCGCCCGAACTTATACTTCTTTACGTGTTCTTGATTTTTTCCACTTTGAAAACCGCTAAATTAAAACATTTCTATGAAAGTAACCAAGCATATTACATATTTTATTTTTCGCTAATTCTTTATAAGCAACAAAACTTCAAAAATCAGAGTACTAAACTTCGCGCAAAGTTAAAGAAAATTATCTAAATTTTTATAAAAACATCTCACTTTTTAATTACCCTCTTTACACAAACAAAATTTGGGAAAGCAGTTTTGTAGCCCGTTTAATTTTAGTAAACATGTATGGAGAAGATATGCAACACCTTTAACCAAAGAAAATTGTCAAAATTAAACGATCAGCAAGTTAGTGTTTTTTCTTATTATGGATATGTATGTGTACATCTGCGTATGCAAAAGGCATGAAAACGATGTTGTTTCACTTCGATGCCGACATAAGTTGGCTCCTTTACTTGTGCAGAATGTTGCCTTCTCTACAGTTTCTAGTGATATTAGTAGTAAAACCAAAAATTCTTCATACTAAATATTCGTTGGCATCACCTTCGTTTGCGTAATTTTCTAGAACAAGTTTGGAATAGCGACCGTTTAGCTATAAAATAACCAAAAATGCCGATTGATAGAACTTTTTACGCTGATTTCAACGATACCAAATTTTATTTGGCGCAGGTAAAAAATAAAGAAGATATAAGAGGTTTATTTGCTTTGTTTATTTGTAGATCATGACAAAGTATGTAATATCGAATTAAAGGTAATAACTTGTACTTTCTAAATATTATAAATTTATTTACCATTAATTATGCAGATTTTTCAAAAAAGGTTATTTCATGAAAATATAACATTTTTTCGTTTTTTAGTGATTTTGGTTTAAAAATACAAAAAGCTATAAAATATGTACATCAGCTGAAAGAAAAATTAATTATCTTCATGGTGACGTCATTAGTTTTTTTATCGGTTACATAGTTCATAAGATATTAATATTAAAAAAATCTAAAAACTGAACTTTAAGTTTCTAGAACGTCTTCATTTTTCACAAATAATTTTGGCATGGTTGAAATGAGCATAAAAAGTTCTATTGATCTGCATTTTTCGTTTTTGCATGGCTGAAGGGTCGGTATTATAGATTTCTTCCAGGAAATGACGAATAACTGAAATCAAAAATGCATGTTTTTATGTGTTGTTTAGTATTTCCATTAAAACACCAAATATATTTCAAATTCGCATAGAATTAATAATACACATTTTACTTCTAATTGTATACTTCGCGTACTTTTTGTAGTACCTTTCTACTACCGTTTTCGCAAAAGCGATCACATTCTTTCCCTTTCTCCTACTTCCAAAATACAAATCTAGATAAAGGAGTGTCAAATTTTGGCTGTCACAAATTACATAACCTTGTATTATTGAATCATGGTGGTACCCCATGATAAAAAGTGTGTTTTCATAAAAACAGGTCATATGGTCTTGGTTGTTTAATGTTTTGAGTTTTATGTTGGGGGAAAGAAAATAAAGATCAGGTGTCAATCATTATTCTTGAGTGGAAAAAATAAAAATCGCAAGATAATCATTATTATTGAGTGAAAAAATAAATATTGAAGGATAATCATTATTCTCGATCAAAAAACTTAAAATCAAGGGGTAATCATTATTCTTGAGCGAAAAAATAAAAATCGTATTTTAATTATTATTTATAATTTTTATTAGTAAAACTTGAAAAATAAAAATCATTGTAAATTACGGTAGGACATACAAAGACAGATATGTGCGTATAAGACTACATCACCAAAAAAAGTTGCGGTTTTTCCGCCGGGATTACAAAATTTATTATATTCTAAGAGGTCCACCAAAATATTTCGGAAAAATATTAAGATTTAAGCGAGCTGGACCGATTTGAAAATACCTCCAAAAATTAAGTTTTTTATGAATAAAAATAGTTTCTTAAAGAACTTTTTGAAAAAAGTCCCCTCAGATGACAAATTAGATTAAGCTTAAAAAATCTGCATAAAAATATTTAAAAATCTTTTCAACGGAATCGTAAGAATGAGATTTGTGATGCGGTTTTTTTTATCTTTTTTCAAAGATTGCTTTACGAAAAACTTGACTAACTGGGCTAAAAATGCTTTTATTTAGACTTATAGGATCTCAATAGAAAGGTATTTTCACACTGTTTTTATTTCTGGCAAAAAAAAAACGTCATTCGTGTCCCATCTTGTTTTTTTCGAATACCAACACATCTTAATTCAACTTTGAATGACGTTCGTTCATCCTACCTTTCTCTTCCATCCTTTGAATTAGTTTATT